ATTAGCTACATTTTTAAGATGATTTTAAAAAATCATCTTTAATTAATATGGTAGTTCAGGTTACTTTTCAGATCATAAATTATAAATATTTTGGAATTAATACACAGTTAAGCTATGCAAAACAGGTCGATTGACTAACTGGCACACTTGGGGACCACATTCCAAATTTTAGCTGTATTTCTTTTGTTATATTGTGTGCTGTATTTTAGTGGCTATAAATCATTACCATATTAAGGAAAATAAGAGTTAATTCTTGCAGAGATAGACTTGTATAGACTTAGTTATGTATTGTGCATTTTGACTTCCCGTATACATTACAGCCAATGAAACAGTAGCCACTATCCCAATATAGGAAATATAAAAAGAAGTGAAAAACAGAAATTGCTGGAGGAAATCAGCAGGTCTGGCAGTATCTGTGGAGAGAAAATGGAGTTAACATTTAAAGTCCAGTGACCCTTCTTGAAATGTACTTTTTCACTCAATTTTTTATCCCCTTGTCTAGTCCCATCCAACATACATCTGCATTCATAGAATCCCTACAGTGTGGAAACAGGCCATTTGGCCCAACAAATCCACACCGCCTCTCCGAAGAGCATCCCACCCAGACTCATTCCCCTATCCCTGCATTTCCCATCTCTAACCCACCTAACCTAAACATCCTAGGCACTATGGGCAATTTAGCATGGCCAATCCACCTACCCTGCACATCTTTGGACTGTGGGAGGAAACCAGAGTACCCGGAGGAAACCCACGCAGACACAGGGAGAATGTGCAAACTCCACACAGATAGTCGCCCAAAGGTGGAATCAAACCTGGGTGCCTGGCACTGTGAGGCAGCAGTGCTAAGCACTGAGCCACCGTGCTGCCCATTCTTCTGACGCTTTACGTCAGTTCCAAAAATTTCAATTTTCAGGCACCATCCTCTTCACCATGGATGTGCAAAATCCATATACGTCCATTCAACACCAGGATGGTCTTAGGGCTCTCTGCCTCTTCCTGGAAAGAAGACCTGAACCACCCCTATCTACCACCAGCCTCCTCCGCCTGGCCAAGCTTGTCCTAAATTTGAACAACTTCTCCTTTAACTTCTCACTTTCTTTGGATCAATGGCTTGGCCATGGGTATCCACACGGGCCCCAGTTATTCTTGTATCTTTGAGGAGTATGTGGAACATTCCTTTCTCCAATCCAACTTCAGTCCCTCCCCACAACTCTTTCTCCAGTATACTGAGGACATAATTGGTGCTTCCAACTTCCGCCACGCTCTCACCTTCAGTTGGTCCAACTCTGACTCCTCCCTCCCCATTACGGACATCTGTTTCCATTTTACTTGGTAGGCTTGCCACCAATATTGTTCACAAACCCATTAACTCCCAACGTTACCTGGATTATATGTCCCCACACCATGTTTTTTGTAAGGAATCCGTTTCGTTCTCCCAGTTTCCCTGTCTTATCTGTTCAAATGATGTCATAGAGGGCCTAAGAAATGTCCATCTTTTTTCTCAATGGAGGATTCCCTGCTACCGTGGTTGACAGGGCTCTTAGCATCAAAGTATCTAAACCATTTCCCACACTTTTTCCCTTACGCCTTTGCTTCCCTCCCAAAATAATGATAGGATACAGGTGCTCACTTTCCACCTCACCAGCTTCCACATCCAAAGGATCACAAGCCACTACTTCTGCAACCTCCAGTGGCATGCCACTAACCAGACATATATTCCTCTCCTTTGCCTTGTCAGCATTCCACAGGGACTGTTCCATCTGAGATATGTTGGTCTATTCCTCCTCCACTTCCAACACCTCCTCATGGCATCTTCCCATTGCAGTCGTAGAAGGTACAACACTTGAGCATTTACTTCCTCCCTCATAACTATTCAAAGCCCCAGACACACCATCCAGATGAAGCAGCGATTTACCTGCAGCATCTGCAGTTCTTGCTATCTCATTCCGGGTTTCCAGTTGCTTGCCACTTCATAACATCAGTGCAATTCCCATGGCAACGTTTCTGTCTCAGGCTTGCTGCAATGCTCCAGTGAGGCTCAGCACTAGCTGGAAGTACAACATTTCATTTTCTGCTTGGGGACCTAGGAACCTCTAGGACTCAATATCAGGTTCAATAATGATTTCTGAGGAAGGGTCACTGGACCTGAAATGTTAACTCTGATTTTTTCTACACAGATGCTGCCAGACTTGCTGAGCATTTCCAGAAACTTCTGTTTTTGTTCCTGATTTACAGCACCCACAGTTCTTTCAGTTTTTATTCAATAACTTCAGGGACTGAACACCTTCCATGTGTTTTACCCAAGTCCAAATCTTGTCATGAGATGGGTCGCTTTCAACACAGCTAGCTCATTTTCACCTACTCATTGTCCTCATTATCACCTATCTATCATTTCTTCTGCCCCTCCCCCCCTTACTATCAAAATCCCTTTGTTTCTTTTTCTCTCTCTGGTCTCAGTCTTCACCTATCAACTCACTCATTCTCATCCCCTCCCCCCCACCGATCAGAAAGATACCATTTGTTGCCAGATGTTATCAGCACTGAAGAGTGGTCACTGGGCTTGAAGCATTAACTTTCATTTTCCTCCACAGATGCTGCCTGAGCTGCTGAGTTTCTCCAGCAAATTTCTGTTGTTGTTTCAGATCTTCAGCATCCGTAGTTCTTTGTTTTATTTGAGTTTATCCGCATTTCCTTGTTTTATATTAATAGAGCAACTAATTTGCTCACAGCAAGCTCCCCTGACAAATGAATGATGAGAAAACTGGAAGAAGGCCAAGTCTCAGCCCCTCCCCGCTTGTGCACATCCATACAGGACCGCTCTTCGCATGCGCGGTCGGGGCCGGCACGCGAGGCTCCGCCCCTCCCCAGGACATTCCCAGACACGTCACATCCGTTTCCGGTGCCTGTGACGGAGTCTGCGACAGGAGCCGCCATGGAGCTGGATGTCGAGCGGCTGTCGCCCAAAGAGGAGGGCGAGCTGGAGGATGGCGAAATTGACGATGACAACGACGAGAACGTTTACCCGGAGTCGCGGCTTGTCTCGTCTTCCATTCCCAAGCCCAGGCCCAGCAACAGCGGGGGCTCGGGCCCCAAAAGCCACCGGCCGCTGGGCTCGGGGAATGGCCTCGTGTACCGGCTCAAGGAGCCGTACCGGGGCTTCACACAGCCACCGCCGCCTCCTCCTCCTCCCCCGCCCGCTCTCCTCGGTGACTCGCCCCGCTCCAACTTCTGGGAGAGGAGCCACGGCACCTTCGGCCGTTTCCGCTTTCGGGAGGGGTCCAACCGCGGCCGCTGGGGCCGGGGCTGTCCGGGAGCTGGCCCTCGGGGATCTAAGAGGGGGAGACCGGGGCCCGGGCCCGCCTTCATCGGGAACAGCAACAACATCCGCAGGGATTCTCCGCCCAGGAAACGTATCCTTTTCCCGGTCCTCTGCCGCCCCCACCCCAACCGGAGACTTCCCAGTTCTATCGCTGACCCCAGGATTTAAGCCTGACTGACGAAGCAAATTGAGAGAAGCTGAAACATTTAAAGAAAAGCCCCACCCTTGCCACCTCCACTTGAAGTGCATTCCTTGACGACTTGCGTCAGCACCTAATCGGAAGCGAAACTTCGGGCTTTTTTTCTGGCAAAGCAAAAGATCGGTTGCAATGTGCCATTTAACAACATTAGTTAGTTCCCTAGAGGTTCAGAGGGGCATTTACTTCCAGGAAATGAATGGGGATGGAAACTACCGTGGGAAGAGTTGCATGATCTCATTGAATGTGATCCTGGTGTGTGGTAATTCAGTTGTCTTCATAGATGGCTGGAAAAATTAAAATAATTTGATTACCAGTCTGGGATGTTTTTGGCTGAAACACTAAAGATTGCATGCTTTGACTGGAGAGATCTTTGGATCAGTTGTGAAATGGATGTTTGTGGTAGTGCAAGTATGTGTGTGTGCAAATATGCAAGAAAAGTACACCATTTTTCTTGAGGGATGAAGTAGCAATACCACTTTATTCCACCACAGGGTGATGTCTTTGCCTTCATTACTTCAAAATGTAGGATGTGTATGTTTCTTGACTCTATGGAAACCTGTTTGGGTCGGTTGACAAATCGCTAAGTAGACTTTTTGTGTAGCCATTTTGATATTTATCTATTAGTGTGCAATCTGTCTTAATGTCATGTTTAAAATTCTGACGGATGAGTATACTCTATGGTTGATTGTTTAGTTAGTGACAAACCATGTTAATTCCCTTTCTTGGAAAACTCTGGTTCTTTCCATCAAACTATAACTCTGACAAATGTGTCTAAAATTTCCTTGAATTAAATAGAATGTACTATAATAGTAGGGGTCACTGTCTAGTGTGAAGAAAAGGTACTAGTATCAGACCCAGAAAGGGTAACATATTTAGCATTTCAAGATATGAAAAGCAAAGAATTCAAGTTGATCTTTTTTAACTTTTTTTGCAGTTATCTAGCAGTGGTCATTATCCTCCAAGATAATATAAACGCATACTTTGCTGTATTATGCAGAACATGCCACAAATTGCAATTGAGATATTGAATGCTGAACCAACCAGCCAAGTTTTGTAATGATTGATTTATTGTTGTCACATGTATAGAGATACAGTGAAGTGTTATTTTGCGTGCTATAGACATGCAGACAGTACCATATGAATTGCATCAGGGTAGCAGAAGAAAGTTCAGAATAATGTTACAGCTGCAGGGAAAGTGCAGAGAGAGAGATCAGAATGAACATTTGAGCTTGGTTCAAAAGTCATAACAATGGGGAAGAAGTCTTCATGTATTCAAGCTTGTATATTTTTGGCCAGATGGAAGAGAATGGTGTAAGTGGCAATGCTTACCCAAATAGCAATATTTCACAAATTAGTGATCGTTTTAATTTTGAGCATGGAGCTATTGCTTAAACTATTTTAGGGACTGTCTTGGTGGAACAGTGCTAAGTTTCCAAGAAATTTGACAAAGAATAGTGGCAGAAATCACTTATCATAATTTCCAAGCAATTAAACATTCATTGTGTTTTAGTTTCTTATTAAAGATAGTGAACTGCTGAGTGATTGCTCATAGATATGTTGAATAGCTGTAGAATAATATCAGTTTTTTGAAAAAAATTGAGATGCCATTTAGCCATGAGTCACTACTTACTTTGTAGGTGTGAATCCGTGTCTTCTGAGGTTTAGTTCACTAAAATCTTGCAGTACCAGACTGTAAATGACCGTGAGCTATTACAACATGTGACGTTTGCCTGTAACAGGATGCTGCTGTTGTAAAGTGTGTACACAAAGGGACCTGGGTGTCTTCCTTCACCGATGAAAGTAAGCAGACAAGTGCAGCAAACAATTAGGAAGGAAAATGACAAGTTGACTGTGATTGTGTGATGGTTTGACTTGATACGTAGCGATGTCTTACTGCTTCGGGGCTTTGGTGAAACTGCACCTAGAGTATTAAGCGCAGTTTTATTTCCCTATGTAAGAAAGGATATACTATTCAGAGTGCTGCAAAGGTTCTAGACTGATACAATACTCCTGTCATGCGCAGTAGATTTTCGAAGAATGAGATGGGATCTGATTGAAGCATACAAAATTTAAAAAGGCGGGACAAACTAGCGGAAGGAGGATATTTTTCCTGGTTGGGACGCCTAGAACCTGAGGTCACAATGTCAGGATACAGGTTAGGGGTATTTATATGGATTTAAGTACCACAGAAGGTTATGGAAATCAGGTAACTTTGTATTCAGGAATGCAATTTTGTACACTTTTCGATTACAGGCATCGAGGGATATAGAGAGAAGGAATATGGTGTTGTGATAGAGGATCCGCCATGATCGGTGAAGCAGGCTCTGTCAGCTGAATGGCCTACTTCTAATTTCTATCATCCAAACCAAAAAAGTCATTCTACCTGTCTCAAACATGTAATGTATGTATATTTCAATTTCAAGGTGTTGCTATGTGTATATGCTATACGTCCAAAGATTGGCACATGTCTTCAGCTTCTTGGAAGAGAAAGGCTACTGATTGTGCCCAATTACCTCCCACTTAGAAAACACCCAACACAATGTCCAACATTAGATGTAATTCCGTTTAATGGGCAGGATTTGTTGAATAATTGAGTTTGCAAAGAAACACGCTGATAACCAATGTAAGTTTCGGTTGGGCTTGGAGTACTGAGTTTGTTTTTGAGCATTTGGAGCAGCATAATTGCTAAGTCGTCTAATTTTCCTGTGACTTGCATTTATGGCTGTCCGAGTTACCAGTTGGATGTTGTGGTTGAAGGATTGTTTCCATTCTAGGAAAACTTGTAGGCTTTCAAACTCCAGTCTGTTGTGGTCTTTATTCATGAAATAATCTCTTGTATACAAGAGAAGGAAAAACATAATGGTGAAAGGAGAGGAATAACAATTAGGCAAGCTCTGCACTTTGTATAAACTCAAAATAATTTCAGTCCTACACAGGGTGCTGATGAGTTGCATATCTGATGCTCCTGGAGAGATTCCAAATATTCTGCCCCCTCTGTCGTGTTAGGTATCTGGGCTACTCGGGTTTCAGGCAGACGGTCTTTACTTTCAGCATGGGAGCAAGATAGGTGGAAGCCAACTGCAGTTATGAAATTCAGGTGCATTTACATTGTGGTGAACAAGTTAGACTACAATATCTGGTTTGCTGAAGTTTTTCCAGCATATTCTGTTTGTTAGAATCAAACCAAGACAGTAATATAATCACAGAGCTCAGTTAAACTTTTAATTATTCATACTATTATACTGTAATGTAAATCATTAATAATAAATTGTCGTTGTTATTGATTTTAAATAACTGAGAAATTAAGCTCAGTTTGTACTAGTGTGCAACATATTTAAGAATATTCCATTCAGGTGAGGACTCCCAATTTGGAGGGAAGGAAACTTCTGGGAATTACCATGAACCTATTTAGTATTCCAATGGTGGTGTTGCTGCTGTTGATTTTACGTGAATGTGGTCTGTGAACTGGTCAAATATGTTTGGTATTAACATGGTGTTTATTCCGTTTGCCAGCAGTTCATTCAGCTTACATTAGCATGTTAATGGAGTCAGACTATTCCTTTATCTCTTGATTTGTCTGGTATGTCACATCACTGTCAACATCAGATAAATAGTTCTTAAATTGTTAAACAAATGCTTGTGTAACAAACAACATGTCAAAACCTCTTTTATGCACAGCACTTCTGTATGAGTTATTGGACCCTCCAGGTGCCACAGATGTATGCAAATGGTATCCTGCATAATTGGGGAAAAAACCCAAAGCCGTCTTTCATATGCAGTGACTGTACAGACTGCTTTAGTGACCACCTTTATATAAAGATTTCTTGTGACTAAAGTATATTCTTGAAATAAAAGGGTGAATGTTGTAGAGCATTTAGAATGGAGGTCCATTAATTGCATTTGAAAAGTCTACAAACTAAAAAGTTTGAGGCTCACTTAAGTTATTACAGAGGAAATTCTTTTTGCTTATGAAGACATTGTAGTTGCCTACCTTGAGTGATTTTTTTCGGTTGGTTAAGTATTTTAACTTGGGCTATGGTGAGTATGAGCAACTGCTTATTTCCTTTTGTCTCATCTGTTCAGCCTTTAGCATGAACAGTCTACTCTGATTATTGTGCCATTCCTCAGTAGCTTTTTGTTAAGTTTCTTGATATGTGTCCCCTGAATGACTGCAGAGTTCATGACTTAACCAAATGAGGATGTACTATGAGAAACTTTAATATATCCTTTGCTCCTTTTCAATTTATGAATGTTGCTTCTAATATTTGTGCAAGATTTGACAGTTTCATTTTGTATGACAGAAGTTTGAGTATTTAGTTATTAGATATTGAAAATGTTAAGTTTCCTTTACACATTTAACTCAGCAAAATTCTTTGGACGGTTCCCATCAAGAAGACCAGCTCAGTATTGCAGAAATGATGATGATATGGATGAAACATTTGAAGATCTTCTTAGGAAATATAAAGAGATTCAGCTGGAACTGGAATGCCTTAATAGAGAAGAAAAAATGTCTCAGACTACCAAGGGAGAAAACTTGCTGGAGGAGGACAGTAGTGTTGTGTCTGGGAATGTTAATGTAGAAACCAACAGTATTGAAAAGAACAATTTACAGCTATCCACTGAAAAACCTCAGGTGAAAGCTTTTCAGGCATTTGAACTAAAACCTTTAAGACAGAAGCTACGTGCACCAGCTCAGATGGAACAAGACAGCCAAAAACCAGAACCATTGGAGCTTTCAACAAATAAACCAGGTATGTGGAACATGATTTGTGAAAATAATGGATACACTACCATTTGTTACTAACTTGGTTACATTTTCTTCCAGAGTCTGAAAATAAAGATCCAGACCATTCTAGTTCAAATAGTAAAGGATTTTTGACAGAATCTCCTTTCAAGGTAAATGTTTGACATATTTGTGTTTTAAAAAAAAAAAATTTGGAATTGGATTTTTCAATTTGTACTGTCCAAGTTGCATCAGTTTGAAGGTAGAATTTAACTGGTATGATTGGGTAATCCACTTTTTAACATTTAACAGGACATTGTCAAAGTGGATGATGAAGAAGTTGAGGAAGAGAGGGAAGAGGAGGAAGAATTGTCAGAACTCCAGTTGCGCCTTCTTGCATTGCAGTCTGCTAGTAGAAAGTGGCAACAAAAGGAACAATGTGTAATGAAGGAGAGCAAAGATAAGCTTACGAAGCCAAAAATCTCTCAGCAGAAAGTCCGAAGTAGCCCTAAAACCCATATGCTGAAGAAACCACTTACTACAGGTAACACCCAAATTTATGAAAATCTTGCTCAGTTCTCTATTGAGTTGGCAAAATTTGGATAGCAAGTAGTGATAGAACATGCAGCTTTTTCATTCATGAATAGGTTTAGTTTAGTGAATGGATAGATAATTGCTGAAATAGTTTTATTAACAAGGCTTGCAGTTTGTACTGGGAAAGATTTGGTTGGAACATTGCCTGCCATGAGAATTCTCTTTTAAATGACATTTGTAAGTGTGTCCTTTATCTTGTTCTGATCTTTCAAAAGAGCGGTGACCCAAGTATGGTATTCGGATGGCGGTTTTGGGTCGCTAATAATGCATTTATGTGGTATTATTCAATGTTATTATATAAATGTTTCATAACTTCATTATATGCAAATGGACAATGAAATGAAATAGGAATGAAAGTGAATGATAGCTTGGTTTTTAAAAGTTGGGTTTTACGGAAGCCTTAAAAGGGAAATGAAGGTGCAGAGGTTTAGCAAGGGGGTATCCCTGTACGTACAGCTCACATGTAGGCATGGGTAAGAAAGGATGAGGAATGCCCAGGCAGTCTGGTTTGGATAAGTCGGAAGCCTCCGGTTTGACCACAAGTTTTAAATTTGAGGTTTTGGAAGACTGGGGATGGATGTAGGACAGTGAGGGGATGGTAAATTTTGGATGAACACAGGACACTGTACATATTGTTTGAATCTGGAGGTGACAAAGACATATAGACAAGGGTTTCTGCAGCAGATCAATTAAGTCAGGGACATCCACATGGGTGACACTAGAGCTAACTGTTTAGGGAGGAACGGGTATGTAAGAGATGATATCTGTGCTGGGTCTACAATTGTATAGATGAGTGAAGCTAAAACAGTCTCGTTGACAGAAGTGGAAAGGCTTTTGAGGATGATTAAATGGTTGGTTGTGTCAGATTGCGCAGAAATTGAAGAAGGGAACAAGGAAGGGTTGAACATGGTCGAAGGAGTTATTTGTGACTTTAAAGCCTTTGTGATGGGGAGAAGATTTAATTGTCACAACTCTGTCTGAATTGCTTCAAAGATGTGGATTTGGTTGATGCTTTCTGGAGCTTGGATTTGGGCAACAGTTTTTAGGAAAGGGGAAAAGGAGGACGAATTTTTGAGGATGGGATTGTTGGCAGTTCTGAAATGTGGAGGGGGAACCATTTTACAATGACCGAATGGGCACTAGGATGGTGATTGGTCTTCAGAAGAAATGACGTAGGAGCAAAGGGGGTGTGAAGAAAGGGATAAACGAAGCTTATGGGTTCAGAACTAATACTAGAACTAGGAATATTGAGCATGGTAGATGTGAAGAAAAGTATTAGAGGTTGCTGAGTTTATCTGTTAGAAAATAACACGTTTATTGCTCATGAACCACTGCCACCTTGAACCAAGGTCAGAGTTGGCCAGAGGTCGGAGGATACTCATTGTTGTTAGAAGTTCCAGGGTGTTAGGAATAAGGAAGAATAGGCGATGTGTGATCTATTTGACTGTTAGTGAGAAATGATCAAAGACCATCCTGGTAAGCAGTACATTTTTTCATTTGTTCATTGGATGTGGATGCCCTGGTCAAGGTCACAGTTTATTAGTTATCCACAATTGACCTTAAAGGTGTGATGAGCCATCACCACCGTCTTGAACGAATGTAGTCACTGTGGTATAGGTGCACCAACATTACTGTTAGTCAAAACTTATTGAATATTAACCTAGCAGCAATTAATGGTGATTGAGATCAAGATGGTGTCTGATTTGCAGGTGGTGGTGTTCCTATGAATCTGCTGCCCTTATTCTAGATAGTAGAGGTCACATTTGGAATGTAGTGTTGGTGAAACCTTGATGAAATGCTCTGTGACATCTTGTAGATGGTGCATGCTGCTGTCACACGTTTTTTGGTGATAGAGGGATGAGTGTTTAATGTGCAGGATTGTGTGCCAATCAAGGGAGCTGTATTGTCCTAGATATTGTTGAACTTCTCCAGTAATGTTGGAGCTGTAGTTATCCATCCTTGTGGAGAATTTTCTATCCCACTCTTGATGTGCCTTGTAGCTGTTGGAGAGGCTTTGGGAATTTGAAGGTGAGTTACTTGTTGAATACCCAGCCCGTGACCAGCATTCCCTCTAACTTATAGACTGCATAGGCTTTTGGAATTCAGTGCACTGGCGTGCTGATACCTTTTGCTGTGCATGGAAGATCGAAGCTGCTATGCAGCTTGGAGTGAACATTGCCTGTGATCCATTCTTACAACCATAGTTTTGTTTTTGTAGCTTGTCTGTGTGGGGTTTAGATCATTAATCCTAGAATGTTAGTAATGCTATCGAATATCAAGGGAAGTAAAGTCTTCCAACTTGATTGCTTCGTAGTTATGTGACGTGAATGTTATTTGCTAGTTTATGGCCCAATCTTAAATGTTGGGGTCCGCAAGCATGCGTCATTTGAAAAATTGCAAATAGAGCTGAACAGTGTGCAATGATTTGGCAGAGCAATGTGCTGCCCAATAGTGCTTGATATGGTTTGACCAGATCATCAAGATCCTTTTGAGGGCATGAAGGTAAGACTTGTACCTGGAGAATGGACAAGATGAGAAAAATTTAAGAACACAAACAATGATGAGGGAGCAGGAATAATTGATTTACTTGACAGTTTCAAAAAGGCTTGCCTAATAATGCAATCTGAGCTCTTTGGAAGTGACTTAAAGTTTATTCTCGAGTTCTGCAGAACAAATAATGTTGGCAGCAATAGTGGAATTTTAGTTCATGGTGGCAAGGAACTTGAAATATGATGGACAGATAGCAGTGAAATCAGAAAGCAAGAGAACTTGAATGGGGTGAGCGGATGTTATTCATTCATCATTAAAACACAGCTGATGAATGTTTTTGTGTATTTGTTTTATTGTAAATTCCTTGTTCATTTGAGTGGAAGCTCTGTATATAAACTTGATATGCAGTCAATACTAATGCTTTGTTTTAACTATTTTCTTCAGCTGTCGCTACAAAGCAGGTTTTGCGAAGACAGAAAACCAGTGCGTGGAAAAAATTACAGCAGCAAAAAGAACAAGAAAAGCAAAGAAAGGAAGAGGAAGAGAAAAAACTTATGGAAGAGGAAGAACGCAAAAAACGTGAGGATGAAATCAGAAAAATTCGTGACCTCTCCAATCAGGAGGAGCAGTACAATCGTTTTATGAAACTTGTAGGAGGGAAAAGAAGATCTGGTAGCAAGGTAAGACTTAATTGCTTTAATGTATTTAAGTTATGTTAAGTAATGATTTAGAAGAAAAGTCTTCTAATGACAGGCTACTATTAATATGCGCAGTATGTATTGTTTAGAATGTTTATTACTTCAGATTTAAGCAGTTTCAGAAGAAACAATAGCCCCAATCTTGTGTAAAGTCACAGAACTGACTCACTGTTTTGTAAGAATTTGGTAAATGTAAATTGCATTTCTTTTTGCAAAGGTAAATTCAGCTTCTGATCATCTGTTGTGAAATTAGAAATGGGTTAATCTTTATTGAATTTAATGCAATGTTAACTGTTAAAACTAAAAGTGAAATCTAAATTCTTTTAGTGGTCCTTGTCCAGTATTCTAAGGAATATTGAATTTTCTGTTGGTTGATGAATGTTTTATTTAATATGCATGCTCTGCATCCAGGTTAGTGGAAACCTATCTAGCTTATTGGAGGGTAAACCTACATTATTCCTAAATTATGGAGAATTCAATGCATGAATGCCATTAGGATTTCTGTTGAAAATTGGATCTATTTCCGAATATTATGTTGAAAGTATAAGTAGCATACTTTGTGAATTTTATTGCATAGACTACGTGTAGACAATCTTTGCATTTTCTATCCCAGGTTCTGAATTGTTGTGGAAATGAGCCAATTTTCATTACAGTTGTGTATAATGTATGATTTGTGGTGTCCTGTATTAACAAAATTGTGAAAGCTAAATACTGCGGGGCCTGGAAATCTGAAACAAAATCAGATCTTCATGGTGATCCTATCAGCCTTGCAAAACCTAACCACATTTCTTCTTTCTCTGCAACATATGATCATAAAGTTTGAATCTCTTAGCTCTTTGATACTCCTTAATATGTGCTCCACTGCCACCTTCCTCGCCCTTCCCAAAATGTGCTGGTTCCTGATGTTCTTTCCCTTGGCATTACTCCACACAATGTTCTCACAACTGCAAATCGGTAGTATCCGATTGTCATTCCTCTCCATGTTGCCCTGGTTTCTGCGCTGTATAACAAGGCAGCTCTCAAACACGTAGATTGTTCCATTCAGTTTCAGCAATGATTTTCCATTACACAATGTTCATTGCACTTCTTGCAGCTACTCATACCAGAAGTAGTCTGTTTCATTTCCATACCTCCGTTTCCCCCAACTGACCCCCAACTAGGTAGATCATGTTTTTTTTTTGACCCAAAAGTCATGTTTTTACATATACATGGCGTACGAATTAAATTCCACCCAGCCCCCATTCAGCTCTGTCATCAGCCACAATTTTTCACCTGACAAAAGGAAGTTAGCCTGTATGCTAATAACTTTTACTTGAAACTATCCGCTTTCCTCAAGACTTCTCCCATAATATTTAAATCTGCACTCTGATCCTCTTCCATAAACTGTCACTGGGTCCATAAATGGTCTGCTTGAGATTCTTACCAGTGTTCCAGAGCTTTTGTCCAGTCCGCAATCAACTTCACCCCGATCTGATGTCACCTGCAAACATCATTGACCCATGCCACTTCCCATCTCACTTAGAAGGTCAGTGACAATCAGGAAGAGGTTCAGTGCCAGTCTTTGGTCTAATCCAACTTTGGCTTTGAAACTCTCATGCTTGCACACTGCTGCTTACTCTTGTTTGACACTCCTTGTACATGTTCTGTAATAGCTGTACTAATTTTTCAGGGGCTCTATAAATTTAGTTAAATCTTCAGTTCCTCCTTGTGCTGCCTTTTTGTACAGAAGTTTTAAAGAGTGTCATGAAGAGTAAAGTGAAGCACGGGTGGTGGAGAGTGTAGATTAGATGAGAAGACCTACAGTGTGGAAGCAGGCCCATTCAACCCATCGAGTCCACACTGACCCTCCATAGAGAATCCCACTCAGACCCAGCCCCCCTGTAACCTTGCACTTACCAGGGCCAATCCACCTAATCTGTGCACTTTTGGACTGTAGGATGTGAATCACAAATCATGGGGCCTAAGCAACTGTACACATAGACAACAACGCTGGAGCAATTAAGATCAAAGATACTTGAGACATCCAGAACACTTTAAAGATTGGGCATCTGGGGGCAATTTGTAGAGATGTGGATGTAAAACTTGTAGAGATAGGGACGTAAAATGTAAAGCTTTCTCCCCACAGATGCTGCTAGATGTGCTGAGTTTTGCCAGCAATGTTTTACTGGACAGTTAGCCAAATCAAAAAGCAGATGTGTTGAAGGGATTTGTAAGCCATATTACTTATTATGCACGTTTTAGTCGACAGAATTTGATATCAAAAAATCACAGGAGAGGCCAATGGAAGAATCTGGAAACCTGTACCAGTATGATAATTATGAAGAAGTTGCTATGGAAACAGATAGTGAAACCAGTTCACCAGGTAAGCATCATCCATGTTCTGTAAATTGCATTTAAAATCAGATTGTTCCACGTCACTCACTCTCTTTTGTGAAATTAGCAGCTTAGACTTTGCAAAGTCTGTGTGAAACTTAAAGCTCAATTTTATAAGGGAGTAAATTACACAGCAACTACCATGCATTTTTAAGGTGGGGATCCAAATGGTGTTAAATTGAAGCACCCTGACATGGTATACTTCATTCTTTGTTGGCTTAAACTCTTTGTAAAGGGTTTGTCTTAATGGCTGGGCAGACTACCAGATTTGGTAGCACAGTGTGCAGTCAGTGGGGACAAGTTCTTAACATACAACTGAATCAAATTGCAATCAAGATGTAAGCTGTCCATTGCTCGAAGATGCCTTACAATTGGATTAATACTTTGGTTGTTGCAGGCCAGCCATCTTAGCCAGGATATTTGTACCACGTGCCTTTAGCGTAGTGTCCTAGAAACAACGTGTTGCAACAACTTGGGTGTTTCTGCAATGGCCTTCCACCATTCTAAGGTCAGAAGCAGGGATCTTTGTTCATGATTATGACATGCATTATAGCAACGTGCCTTCTGAAACCTTCCAACTCCCTAATGTGCCCACTCGAGGGTGACACTGGTTTAGATGCTGATAAAAGCAGATCTGTGTTCAGAGGCCAACAAAAGCTTTACGGACAGATGTCAGTGATGGATGCTACTTTACTGCTAACCACAAAATCCACCCTGTGTCTTGGGAGGTGATTGTCAACATTTTTTTAATTGTCGTGGGCATTAGACATGAATATAGCTCATGGTCAATGTTGCACATGTTAATGACTGATTCTGGATTTCTTTATTGAAAGAATTTGGAAACAGATTCTGAAAGGTGTTTTATAAAATCCTAATTTTATTTCCATAATGGTGTGCAAATCGCATAAACATTGCCAGAAATCCAATAATTGTATACTTACAATAATGTGTAAGGATGTCATTGCCGAAAGATCAGAGGCTGAGGAATAAACTCCTGTCAGTACGGCTTTTTGTACCCATTAATCTATATGTATACGTGTAATTACATTTACCAGCCAGTTCAAAGTGAAACGGTTTTGATCAATGGTTTATCCATGTATATAAATGTGATAAACTTGATTTTATTCCTGATTGTCGACAACTTTGATATGGTTTTTACCAATTTGAAATGTCCTCTCTTCTAACAGTATCATCTCCAGTGCCATCTTCAATCTCTGTGGATTACCAGTCAGGGTATTTTGTTCCAATGCCACCTGTGCCAGTATCTTTACAGCATCAAGTTAGTTTCATTTCTGCATTAGTCCTAATATAAAACTGATTGTGATATTATGCTGCTGTCATTTTTTTAGTGCTGTTTACGGCGTAAATTATCTTCCAAATTATTAGCTTTTCATTTGCGTTGTGAACTGTCAAATTGATTGATTTTCAATACTGTTTTTCCAAATTGAAACTGCACCTTCATTACTTTGCATGTATTGTTAGCATTTTGCAGTTGAAAGTAGCTCATTTAATGACTGTCCGTTGTGGTGGCTTTATTTGATTTTGAGGAAAGAATTAAATGAGGTGAAGTTTTAACAGCCAAGTGTGATTGAACAATATCTCTCTCTGTAATTGGATTACTGTATAAGCTGTAACAAAACAATCTCCGCCACTTCCTTATTTCATTGTAAATTGGTTTGTTATTTTACATCTGTAAATAACATCTTTAGCGCTTTTGCAAATCTGTTCTGTTTTTAGAACATGGTGGATCCTATAATTCCGAATTACTTAGAGTCCTACTTCCCTAGTCCCTTGGAACTGCCTATGCCACCACCACCCCCACCACTACCTCCAGAGGAACCTGAGCAGCCACCTAAACCTCCGTTCGCCGATGAGGAAGAAGAAGAAGAAATGCTCCTTAGAGAGGAATTGTTAAAATCCATAGCAAATCGGCGTGCTTTGAAACCAGAGGTAATTGAAATAGTTTAATTGTAAAATTGTATTTAGCCACCAGAGGGCAGTCTTCTACAAGTGAGGATATTTATTTGGAATGATTTTCGGTTGGTGATTTTGAATTTGGCTGTGGATCTCAAGTTTATTTTAGGTGGAAGTTCTTAATTTTTGTGTGGAAATCCTCTAACTTGATTTCTCCTCCGTAGTTTTTATTGCTTTTAATACAAATTAATTACATTATGCCCTTAATCCTGGTGATTAATAAGGGCCAGACTTGGCTGAACTTTGCAACTCTGCAGAACCCTGCTGGCACCCACTGTTTCTTTACAGCTCTTATTTGATGCTTCCTCAGCTGTACTCCAAAGAAGTCTCAACCATACTGAAAATAAAATAATTGGAGGGGTGTGGAACATATTGGACCCTTCCTATTCTCACACACAATTGTGGTGTGGAGGAATTAACATTTACATGTGCCTTTTAAAAATAGTTTTCTAATGTTTCGATGTTTCAAGTGTACATTTGTGGTGGGGGTGGTGTTCACTAGTGCAAACTGAACATTGGTAGGAATAGCAAAGAAGTAAATTTAGTTCTATGATTAACTTACTCTCTCCAACTTCTCAAAACAGGATTCACCTGATAGTTGTGACATGGCTTTTCCACCTCTTCCTATTGAAAACTCCCAATGTGGGCCAATAAATAATCTTTCAACTGCTGACCTGAACTCTACATTACAACCACGTCCCCAAAGTGCAAAGTTTACAAGAGGACCTTCAGCTCCTCGTCCATTAATAATGGTAAGAATTTTGTTTGGCAGCATGATCTGTGTTTTATTTCAGATATGTAGCCTTTGTTTTAGATGTGAAAAATTGTGGGGAGAAAAGAGTTCCAGAAATTTCGGGAGGAACACAACATGAAGATTGAATTTAAAATTTAACAATGAAGTAAACCTTTTTCAAAATTGAGTAGAAGAACTTTTTAATTGTTCTTCATTTTAATGATACCTTATATTCATTAATGTGGTTTTTCTGTTCTGTACAATTGTGATGGTGTATTCAGTTCTTGGATTGACTGTTTCCTTTCGATGCTATATTTTCAAAATATCTTAACAGTAAATGTAAGAATGTTATTTAATTGACAACTTGACCAAATAACTGATAATGAAACATTAATCATTTGATTTATTGCTTAGAATGGGTAAATTTAAGTACAAAATAGGATTACTTTTCCACTCAACTGTTTCAATTGTGCTGGAACTTGTAAAAGTGGCCACTATAACCTTGCACAGAGGTAAGCATCTAAATGGAAACAATGCCACCTTTAGCAAAATACCTTTGGGTTCAAACACTCAGTTATTTCAATGCAACAAACTTATCAGATGATGAATTGAAAGTTTCAGAAAACTTTGAAACAAAATAACCAAGCTCATGCAGGTTGTTAGAAAATAGATCTTCTGTGTGCCTTTTTAAAATGTAGATTTTGGTGGAATAGTTTTCATGTTTTCATTTAGAAGTCCACCCTGCTGGTACTTGTCAACATATGGGTATATGTACTAAAGAATTTCGCAGCTTTTCTGAAGGCAGGAAATTACATTGAATATGTAATGCAGCAACATGCACCTTCAAGTGTTTGTTCTCCGCTTGAGTTCCTTCCCTTTCTTCCTTGTCTAACTTCATCAAAGCACCCTTTCTGTGCCCTTCTTCCTCTTGTATACTTTCTTGCAATCCTTGTGGTAGAGTGTTCCATATTCCCACTACTCTGCAGAAAGAAATATCTTTGCAGTTTTTATTTGATTTCTTGGGTATTTTACATTGGTCTCTAGTCTTGCTGTTCTTGCTAAATGGAAGAGTTCATTTACTTGTATGTTTCTTGGCCTAATTTTTACAAAATGTTTGGCTGAAAATTGCATTCCTGGGAGTTTTATGGAATCAAGTGTAGTTTGCAAATCTTTCTGAAATCCCATGTAAATGTTTGGGGTATTGTGACTTGGTCTTCACTTTTCCCTGTTTTCATTTTTTTTTTTTTTTTGTTAAAATTTTCAGATTCCAAGGCACAAAGCTGTAGTAGTGAGACTGGATGACTCTGATGATAGTGAGTCAGATAATGAACAATCCAATTTAAATGTGGGTGTCTTTGGAGGTTTGGAGTCCATGATTCGAGAAGCCAGAAGATCTGCAGAGGTGTGCGAAAACTTGGTTGTACATAATTATAACATTTTTGTAGTGTTGTATTCCATCAGGGTTCCTTGTCAAGATCCAGAGTGCTTTACAGCCAATTAAATATTCAATGTGCAGTCACTTGCATAGGAAGTGCAGCACCAATCCACACAGCAAGATCCCACAACAGACAGTACTATTGTGACGCAATCTGTTTGTGTTGTAGATTGAGGGATGGAATTTCATTTGGATCCTATGCTTATCAAAATGCTGAATGATCCCTGGCCCATTTGGGGAAGATGGAACTGATCCATGGCTAATGTACTTGTGTTCTTTAAATTTGTGAATAGAATAGTAAAAGTCATAGATTATATTTAGTATTAACGTTAACTTGATTTTTTAAAAATTTTACTAAAGCAGTTTCCCGTAGTGTTATGCTTGGAGTCTTCTGGCAGTGGCATTACAGGGCAGGGGGAGTTTGCATTAGGTCTCATGGATGTAATTTACCTCCCATTCATCAAACTTGCCATGAAGGGAAAATGTGTCAATTTGACAGATGCACTACAGCATCACCAACTAGCAGATTTGGTATAACTGACATGGCAAATTTAAGCTAGAAAGGTGGACACCACAAAATGCAAGTAGAACAGGTTGACTAAAAATGTATTTAATCTGAAAGCATGCAGATAGAACTGAGTCTGCACAATCAACTTATTGCAAATGCTGAAAATCCAAAATAAACACATTGGATGTGTTTGGGCGAGGTAACAACTGGGAGAGAAACAGAATGTTTTGAGATTAAGCAGAAAGATTGTTGTCCTGAATTAACTCTTCTGTTTCTCTTTGTAGTGCCTGTCTGACCTACTTTTTGCATTTATTGCTGGGTATACCCAGTCAGCATTTTTTATATGGAGCTATACCCAAAACCTTTTGTAGTTATGACCTGGACTAGTCAGATGAATTAATTACCCAGTAATTTTGTGTGGCAACTTATCGCAAGGCCCCCTGCGATACTGGTAGAGAAGGCTCCAAACGTATCTAACATCCTTAGGCTTTTCACTTGACTATTTGAGGATATCGGAATCTCTGCACATAGTGTGGTTTCAAGCTGAAAGGGTCAGCCCTCGCTTTTTATGCAGGGGATACTCACTGTGTAAAACAGTAGCCCAAAGATCTTGAAAATAACAAAAGAAATGAGTTGGCAGATGCTTGCAAAGGAGCAGCTGAAGGTCCTTAATTTTTGTAATCAACCATCGTGCATTGTAGTATTCAAAATTAATGCCTTGGTAGGAGATCTGCTTTTGAGATTCATGGTAGACTGGAGAAGCTCCGGTTTGCTGTAGTATTTCATTGATTATTAATGCTCATTTTAAAAGTGTGTCAGTTTCATTTTTGAATACGGATATTCGTTGTCTTTTGCGCTGTGGATCAAGGCTGAAAACTTTCTTTGTCTGAAGGCCTCAAAACCGAAGCCAAAACTAAAAGCAGAAAAGGAAAATGATCCTGCTGGAACCAAAGATGGATCTTCTGAGGGGGCGAAAAAGGAAAATAGACTTTTAAAGGAAGAAAATATCAGGTAAATGTTCAGTTTGTTTTTTGATAATTTTATTTGCTTTTGTTCATTTTAATAGTCATTTGGTGCTGTGAACTTCCTCAGCCAATTCTTAAACGATTCAAGGTAGCTACTGTAAGCTAAATGTGTCTTCACTTCAGTGATGGTGTTGATTGAATGGAGGAATACCAGAGAGCGTGGCTCGTTCTGAGTAATATCGCTTTAATCTTGTGACTGCAAACTTGTAATAAGCACTAAAGCTTGTTCTATTTGTTTGCTGCCAAGCATGAAGGGAGCGTGAGAGGACAGTTGTCTGTCAGAATAATGTTAATTAAGTTCAGTGCTTAGCACAGTGCCGTTGTACTCATTGGCTTGGCTTAATTTTTTTTAGTCGTGAGAAACAGCGACTGCTGAAGTCTGATTTGTCAAGGGCTAGTCCGTCCCTGGTTCGCTCAGATGCTGAAGTAAATGCTATTGGAAAAAGAACAGTGGTCAGTAAACAACTGTCAGATGTTGAAGACAGACTCAGAAAACACAAGTAAGTTTTGGTTGTGCTTAATAGTTTTAAATGAACTTTCTTTTGTCTGAACATCAGTAAGGAGTGCTGGACAAATTTGTCTTAATGATAAACTTTCGTATCACTGCAGTCTACCTGACATCCTGAGACTGAGCAGACTAGCTATTTTGCCAATTGGGTAATTGTTGTCTTAAGACACTGAAAGAGTCCATTCTATTTTTCCTAAAGTAGTTGCTTGGGATTTTTATCCACCTGAAAAGGTTTTCTGTTCAGGTTCTTATGCAGTGACTTGAATCAGTAAGCTGACAGTAATCATTTGCGATTTCCAACGGTCTCTGGCAACCATCAGTTCAGTTTGAACCAAAATGAGTGCCACCTTCCTAATTTGATACCTGATATAAAGTGCTTTTTTTGGGTATGGTCCCCAAATATCTTGCGCTGCTGTATTAATAATTAGCATCATTCATGTGTTTCTCATACTGAAAACAGTCGCAGACCATCAAATATTTTGGGTTTCACTTTGACACAAGGGTCAGAATAGGAAAGGAAAATTCAAGCAAGATTATTTATGCCTCAATTTTCAAAATACAACTGTCTACAATGGGACATCTCCACCTATTTTTTTCTTTATTACCTTTTGAGTAGCTACTGCACTTTTCATTAGCAAAGTATGGCATCCTTGACACAGAAAACCGAAACCCACATTAATTATGAAGTTTACTTGAGATTTATTAATTAACTAGGTGGTACCTATGTTTTCTCTTAAAGCTATTAAAAGCACACAATATCCACTCTACTGCTTTGGTGTTAATCATTTAAAAGTAAACTTGTGTAAGATTTTGATTTTGCTTTTATTTTAGTTTCCTCTTGACAAAAGATGAATCTCTTCTATCAAATTTGTTACAACAAGAAGCAAAGAAGAAAGAAGCACTGCGTCAAGCTGAAGCCAAATATATGAAGCACAAAGAACAGTTGCAGGCAGCTGAAAAGATTGTGAATGCTAACAGAATGCTTCTTAAAAAGCTTCAAGAACAGGTAGGCAACATAAATTCTGTTGGAAATTTCCATTCCCTGAACAGTTCCTAGTGGAGAATAGTTTTATTCTGTAAGTTAAGTTGGTCTATTTTTAAAAAAGCAGTTATTCTTGATTGGGAAATAGTGCAGTTAGTCTTCGACCTGCGTCTGGGTAAGAGGATGGGAGATCAGTTAAATCTGCTCATAGTTTCTGTGCTGAAATGCCTCTTGAAATATGGGTGTAGTCAAAATTGTTCCACTGTCATGCACTCCTTTTACATTGCCTGCTAGTGTTTCTGTGTCGCAGCTTGGAGGGAATTGAGAACGATGGCAGAACGGTCCCCTCGAAGTATACTCCAGCAAGACTTGTATTTTGAGGAAAGAAGCTGAAAATGAAAAGCTAACTAATTTCTCTCTTTTTGTAGCATATAGGCTATATGTAAGACACCTTCCATTCTTATAATGGGAATGGCACGTGTCATTTTGAAATGCCTTAATGTACTTCTACAACTAAGTAATTTGGAACTACCATCTTTGTTAATGCAGGAAGATGTAGCAGGTAATTTGTATACAAACTCTGAGGTGATCAGCACTTTTAGTGCTGATTGTGAGGATGTTTCTCCTCGTCGGGAAATCTAGAAGCTAAGGGCACAACATGAAAATATTTTCCCACTTAAGATTGAAATGAGGAAGAATTACTTTTGAGAAATGATGTTTGGAATTCTCTTCCTTGGAGCAGTGGAGGCTTGATAATTGAATGCATTTAAGCTGAGTTGGATAGAGTTTTGCAGGAAAGTCAAGGTTTGAGGGCAGGCAAGAAACTATAGTAACACAATCTGATCAGAATTACATTAATCTTATTGAATGGTGAAGCAGTAGTTTGAATGTCTACTAATTTCTTGGCTTTTGTTCTGGAATCGTATAACACAACCAGGTTTTTTCTAACTGAATGGAGACATTTATCTGAATTGTAAAATAAGCAGAAAAAGATTAATCTCACCTGATTTGATCTTACTAAAGAGGTAGTTCCTTACTGCCATGGTGGGGTTTGAAAAAGATTTGTGTAACAAGTCTTAAATGAATTTTTTCATGTTTAGTGCATTGCAGTTTTACGTTGGACCAGCTCTCCCATTTAAGCAATATTAACTGTTTTGACAATGACCAATTTTCTTTCTTGCCCCTTAGATCCATAAAGTAAAACATCGAATACAGGTTAAAAAGAATTTATCAGTAAGATATGAAGAATTTGCAAGAGCAAAAGCTGTTGCTAGTCAAGAAGTGGGGAAACGTAAACGTGAACAAGATTCCTTTGTTGTAAGTTGACTATTTGAAAGAATTCACAGAATGTGGACTTGGCTGATTAGTCTACGTATTTCCAATCCCTAACTTCCCTTAAGAATGTAAGGTGATATTTAGCCCACTTGAATACAACTACTTGGTTTGCTTGGCCATTTCAAAGAGCAGTTTTAAAGCATTCCGTTGCTGGGAATCTGAAATCTCAAAGCCACAGCAGGCATGATTAACTTCCTGTGGGGGCTCCTTATCACCAAATTTAAATACACCACATCCACCAGGTCTCCTATAATTTTATTAGCAGTGTACTCAAAAAAAACTAAGCAAGTTTGTTAAACTGATAGCTCTGTGTCCCTGTTTTATCCCTTGCACCATTGTTAAATAGTGGGGTGACATTTTCAAGCTTCTCATCTGTGGAAATCATTCCAGAATCTACAGGACTTTCAGGATATGCATTGCATGCAACACCTATCTCCATAGCAACACGTTCAACATTCTGGAATGTAGACTGAGGTCTTGGGGATTTATCAACTTTCAGCCCCACTAATTGCTCCAGTCTGACTAGTTTAGTACTGTTAATTCACTTCAACTTCTTATTCTGTCTAGTCACTTGGATTTCTAATTCTGGGAGATTTTCTTGTGTATATTACAGTGAAAAAAGACAGTTGTCATAAGTTTTTGGCCATTTCCCAATTTCCATTATAAATCCTTCTGACTGTGTTGAATGAACCTGCATTCATCTTCACCAAATACTTTTTCGTTAAGCACCTATGGAAGCTTCTAGTCAATTTTTGTTTCTTGCTGTATTGGTTTTGCATTATACTTTTACATTCCTGTCAGTTTCTGGGTCCTCTTTATATTCTTAAAAACTTCCCAGTCCTCAGATTTATGACTATTTTTGGACAGTTTCAGTTATGAAGTAAGATTAGATACTGTTTTTCTTGGAGCAGAGAACACCGAGCTCTGACATGACATGTATACAATTATGCGGGGCATAGATAGGGTAGATAAGAAGGAACTTTTCCCCTTAATGGAGGGATCAGTTGCATGGGTGCCTAGTTTTAAGGTAAGGGAAAGAAGGTTTAGAGATGTGAGAGAATCATTTTTCATCAAGGGTGATGGAAGCCTGGAACTTGCTGCCTGTAAAGGTGGTAGAGGCAGAAATCATCGTAAAATTTAACAAGTACATAAATGTGCTCAGTGGTTCCACGGCTACAAAGCTGTGGGCCACGTGCTGGAAAATAGGTGCTTGTTTTTGACTGGTGCAGGTTTGATGAACTGAAGACCTTTGCTCTGTGTTGTGGACCTCTGTGACTCTGACTTTTGAGCCTTTTTTCATTTTAATCTTCCACAGTCCTTTAACTTGACTGAAATTGCTTGAGTTTGTGCACTTTGAAGAAATATAGTTGCTGTTCAGCCATAAGTTCTCTAAAGACTGTCCTGTGTTTGAGTATGGACATGCCTTTTGAATATAATTTCCCAAGTCAACCCACCCAGCTTCTGCCTCATGCCTTCATAAAACTCAATTAAACAAACCCCCAGCAAGCATAGTGCAAATGGTCCCCTCATCCAAGTCATTAAAAAGATGGTGAATAGTTTATGCCACAGTACTGATTCTGTGGCAATCTGCTAGTTGCAATTCGCCAACCTGAAATCTGCCCATTTTTTTCCCCAACTGTTTTCTGTCAGTAAGCCAGTTCTCTGTTAGTATATCATGCCAGATATCATGGAACGTTATCTTGTCTATTCAAAAAAGGGTACGGTACACATCTAGTTTGATTCCCCTTATTCACTGTCCATCCTCAAACATTCAAATTTGTCAGAAACCATTTCATTTTGACTCTGCTCGATTCTATTGGGATTTTAAGTATCCTGTTTCTCAATCCTTAATAATGGTTTATAACATTTTTCCTATCATGGTAGACTAACTTTTTTCCTGCTTTTCTCTCCTTCCGAGAGGGGTGTATTAGATTCGCAGTTTTACAATCCACTGGCACCTTTACTGAATCTAGGGAATTTGAAAGATTACAGCCACTGCAACCAATATCTCTTGCACTTGCTTCAATAACTCGTTTTCAAATAAACCTGCTAGACTATAACCTGGTGTTATGATTTTTCACCTTGTCCAACTCCGTCCGACCCCGACACCTTCACATCACTTTAATACCCTAGGATGCAGTTTGTCAGGTCCAGGGGTCTTGTCAGTTTACTCCCATCAGGTTTCCTGGTATGTTTTTCTGTTTGTTTTTAAGTTCCTCCATTTGCTTTTCTTGACGGTTTTTGGGTTGCTTTTTGTCCTTTGACTCCTGAAGTCAGATACAAAACACTTAATCAAAGATCTGCAAGTTACTTGTTTCCTAATACTAATTTTCCATATTTTTGACTTGTAGTGGATCACTGCTTTGTTAGGCTGCTTTTTTTTATCTGTACAGAAAACTTTATTGGCTGTTTCTATTCTCACTTTTTTTCATACTTGCAATTTCTTCCTCAATTTCTCCTCTTCCTTTTACTAGTTTCTAAAATGTCTATCTTCTAGCAATCGTTAAATCTGGCAGCTTTGGACATCTGTCCTTTGATACCAACTTTAGCTTCCTTAGTTAGCCATGGCTGATGCATCCTTTTTATAGAATTTTCCTCAATGAATTTTGATCATACAAATGCATAATAAGTTGATACAATGTGTAATACAGCCGAAATATGTCTTGCACTTTGTCACTAAATCTGCTGTAAGATTTTTTGAGTAATGTCACAAACAATAGGAAACCCTAAATACTGCATCAGTACTTGGTTGTCTTGTGTCTTCTCTATATTTAACATTTGCTTTTGGTTTTAATCTTAGTTAAATTATTGTTTTGCGCTCTCTCATACAAAAGTTGATAGGCAGTGTTTAGTCTAAAGATGTAATTCTTTACTCCAGCTGCTTTATGATGTGGCCTGAGCGTAAAGATCTAATTCATTCTTCCAGATGGCTATGATATGCCCTGAAATATTTTGTCTACTGTTCTTAAAACTATCAAATGAAAATTAATGTGGTTTAGAGCAAGTAACTATTTTCTCAAGATTTTTGTTTGGTATTTATTATTTTGAAAGGGATCACATTTTTTTGCATTTCTGACATGAGGGCCAAATTATTCTGTTAAACCTTTCACACTTAAATAATTTTTAGATGCCTTCGTACCATGATTTAGTATTTGATTTTAAAAATAACTTGCTTTCAGGCTAACAAGAATATCCGGTTGGATGGCTCGTCTAAACATGTGGCAATCTTAAAGAAACAATCTGCTGAATACATAGCTATGGAGAAAAAACGTTTGCAGCAACTTGAATATGAGTATCGGCTGAAGATTCAAAAACTGAAGGAGGCACAGGCCTTAAGGAATGCCGGGCAACCTGATTTGCAAGGGATAGAGGAAGAGCGTGCATTTGTGGTGTCCCAGCCTTCTCTGCATGACCTAACACAGGATAAACTTGTTCTTGACACTGAAGAAAATGATGCAGAAGATGAAGTGCAGTCCCCGTCTCTAAGGGAACGAAGGAGGTCATTCCGAGAATCAAACTCTTTTACTAAGCCAAATCTCAAGCACAAAGATCTAAGTCAGGGGAAAGAAACTTTAAGCAAGCCTATGAAGAAAAGCTTTGACGAACCTGAGCTGTTTCTTGGGCTCAATATTGATGATCTCAAAAAGCTTCATGGAGAGGCTGATGACTTGAAAACATTGCTTCAGAAGACTTCACTATCAGTGTCTTCCAAAGAGAAACCTGTGTATGGCCAGGTTAGTAGAATGGAATTGATGTCTATAACTTGAAATAATGCAAAGAACTGCAATTTTAGGAAGCTCATCAGTAAATTTGATTTTCCTTTGCAAATTAATAATAATGACGTTAAGTGCAAAGGAAAACTTTTACTTTATGTAGTTTCTTTCATAAACGCAAGACATCCCAAGTATTTTATGGCCATTAGTCACTGTTGTAATATGGGGAATCTAACACCTGATCTGTGCGCAGCATGGTCCCTTAAATAATTTTATAATGACCAGATAATTTGCTGTAGATATTGATTGACAGTTAAATAATGGCTGAGACATGTATCTGCTCTTAAAATTATTAGTACCTTGTGATCTTTAATGTCTGCCTGTCAGAGGTTTGATTTAATGTCTTGTCTGAAACTCAACACCTCGCAGTGATGAGTTTAATAGGTCTTTATCCTTGCATCTCTAGTGTGGAAATTGAACTCTGATCTTTGATTTGGAAGGTGCGAATGCTATCCAGCAACCTAAGGCTGATGAGTGTTAGTAATTGTAAATTTGATTCTTTTTCTCTGTCAATCAAGTTGTAAAACTGCACATTACTGCTTGAATGACTATGCTGAACGTACAATCTACAATTAGCAAGAGAAATGCTACCTAGACATAGTTATACAGCGTAGAAACAGACCAACTCGTGTATGCTGACCAGATATCCTGAATTAATCTACTCCCATTTGCCAGAATTTGACCCTTATCCCTCTAAATCCTTCTTATTCATGTACCCATCCAGATGCCTTTTAAATGTTGTAATTGTACTAGCCTCCACCACATCGTTTGGCAGTGTATTCTGTACACGCACCACCACCTATGTGAAAATTTCCTTTAGGTTCCTTTTAAATTGTTCCCCTCACTTTAAACATATGCCCTCTAGTTTGGATTCCCCCACCCTGGGGAAAAAGACCATGGTTATTCACTCTATCCATGCCCTCGTGATTTCATAAACCTCTTTAAAGTCACCCCAGAGGCTCTGATGTTCCAGGGAAAAAAGCCTCAGCCTATTCAGCCTCTCCTTATAACTCAAACCTCCAATCCCAGCAACATCCTTGTAAATCTTTTCTGAGCCCTTTCAAGTTTAACAACATCTTTCTTATAGCAGAGACCAGAATTGAATGTAGTATTCTAAAAGTGGCCTGACCAATGTCTCGTGCAGCTGGGACATGATGTCCCAACTCTTTTATATTCAATACACTGTTTACAATGTGTGGATGTACCGACTAGAGAAGGAGCAGAACTTGACCTTCTGTTGGGAAATAAGACTGGGAAGTGACTCAGGTATCAGTTGGGGAGCACTTTGGAGCCAGTGACTCTAATTCTGTTAGTTTTAAAATAGTTATGGAAAAGGATAGACCTGATCCAAAAGTTCAATTCTGAATTGAACGAAGATCAATTTTTAAAGTATTAGGCAGGAACTTTCAAAAGTTGATTGGGGGAGGCTGTTTGCACGTAAAGGGACAGTTGGAAGGTGGGAGACTTACAGAAAGGAGATCACGAGAGTTCGGAGTATGTTGCTATCAATGCGAAGGGCAAGGCTGGAAGGTGTAGAGAATGCTGGATGACTGGAAAAATTGAGGATTGTTAAGGAAATGAAGAATACGTATATCAAGTATAGACAGTTTTGATCGAGTGAATCCCTAGAACAGTATAAGGGCAGTAGGCGTATACTTAGAGAAAACTCGAGGGCAGAAAAGGGGACATGCGAAAGCTTTGGCAAATAGGGTTAAAGAGAATCCGAAGAGATGCTACAAATATATTGAGTAAAAGTGTAACTCGAGAGAGAATAGGGTCTCTTAAAGATATCCTAGATTATCTAAGAGTGGAACCAAAGGAGATGGGTAAGATACCAAACAAATATTTCCTGTCAGTTTTTACCGTGGAGAAGTCTTAGTGATGGAACTCAAGAAGTAGGCTTGTGTTGCCTTCTGATCAAACATTATATCATGGTCTGAATATTCCTTGCATGTTTATTTAGACTTTTAAATGAAAATTTTTAGGATTTGAAGCTAGCTTCCCCAAGACAGTTTGTTCAAGTATAAATATGGGACCGTTAATAAGTTCAACTTCTGCATTATTGTGTATGGAAAAAGTTGCCAGAGGAAGTAGTGGAAGCTGGTACAAGTACAACATTTAAAAGGCATCTGGAAGTGTATATAAATAAGAAGGGTTGAGGGATATGGGCCAAATGCTGGCAAATGGGAGTAGATTAGTTTCGGATATCTGGTTGGCATGGAAGAGTTGGACCAAGGATCTGTTTTGATGCTGTAGAGCTCTACGACCCTGCTATCCTCAAATGCTAAAGTTCACAACATGCCCAATAGAAAACCTGGCAAGAATACAAAAAGTCACCATGGTTTACAACATATGCTAGTATTTTAGAAAACGTTTTGTTTACATCTGTTATATACAGCAAACCTTGTTTTAACTGGCACCTTATGAACTGGCTGTTTTGATAAACCAGCAAAAATTATATGCCTCAAATACCACATGTTTACTGTACTATCATAATATCTGCAGCGTCCAAGTAGTCTGCTGTGGGGGTGAGTGAGATGGCTGTCGGCTGGCAAAGTTGCATTATTATTGGTTTATGCTGTAAATAATTTATAAGTGATGTTTATACCCCATGCATTACATGTCTATTACTTAGTGTGTCTTTACATTGATTATTTGGACCTTTTGATCAACTGGTACATGCCTGGTCCCATTGGTGCCTGTTAATGAAGAGTTTGCTGTCGAGGATTGCCTTCTAATTTGGTATTTACGCAGTTGCAGCAGTATTTGTGGATGTGAATCATTAAAGAACCAAACATGAAAATCTAGGTAAACTGGAAATTTACATCACTAGTGGTATTGCTGATTTGAACAAGAATTCTCTGATAGGAAATAATCATGCAGTGACATTTTATAATCAGTGTAATGGAAATTTCTTTGGAAAGGTTATTGATTTTTGATGGCTCAAAATTAACATTCGTTAGATGTGTTAACTCTGTCGTGGTACTGTTACAAGTAAACTTTTTTTCTTTCTGAATATTTTTTGAACTCAGTGTGGTGTGTTTTCAGAATACTTCTTCTGGTTGTACTTGTTGATAAAAAGATGTCTTCTACAGGAGATTCCTGTGGATTTGGATATAGTATTGGCACAGTCAAGACAAACTGATTTGAAGCCAACTGCCTTTGGACCGTATAATAGCCCGCTTTTGGTCTTCAAATCTTACAGGTATGAAATTTAAACTGATTTTGTTCAATATTCATCGGTACGTTTCCTACTTTTAAGCAAACACAATCCTGATAAAACTGTTCAGTTGGAATTTAAAACACAAAGATGAAGAATTTGTGTTTCACTTTGTGATAAACCAGAATGGTAAAAGCAAAAAGTTGCTAAAGATGCATTTGACCCATGCAAAACCCCTTACATTCACCAAGACTCTCCGAACTTGGACAGTGGTGAGGAGAGATTTTGAGGACTGTGCAGCTTTGACTCTATCTCACGAGGTGGTGGAGGTGGGTCATTTAAAATCTTCTGGCAAATTTAAGTAGGTCTTGTTAGCCAAGTAACTTGGAGTTTGTAGAAGGTAGATGGGAATGTGGAATTCCAAACACAACAGATCAGCCGTGATCATCTTGAATCGTGGTGCAGGATTGAGGAACCTGGCATTTTAAGTACTTGTCCAGATGCTTCTTAAATTTGCAAGAGAATCTGTTGTCACCACCCTCTCAGGCAGCACGTTCCATATTTCTACAAGTCTCTGGGTGGAAAAAGTGCTTTTAGATCTCCAGTGTAAACCACTTGTTCCTCACCTCTAAACTTACGCCCCCAGGTCTTAGACACCTCTGCTGTGAGGCAGAGATTCTCATGACCTACTGTCTGTGTGTCTCATAATTTTGTATATCTCAATCAGATCCCCACCTCGGCCTCTTCTGCTCCAAGGAAAACAAAAAACAGCCTACCCCAATCTCTCCTCATAACTGAGACTTTTCATTCTAGACAACATCCTGGCGAATTTCCTTTCACCCTCTCCAGTGCGGTTATGTCGTTCCAACAGTGCGATGATCCGAACTGAACTCTCTTCCACCTGTGGCCTAACAAAGTTTTCTAACAAGATTTCCTTGTTCTGATCATTAGCCCAAGCTAAAGAAGGAAGCAGCCTATAACATTGTCTTCACCACCTTGTCTACCTGTCAGGGATCTATGATCTTGTACACCAAGGTCCCTTTGCTCAGTACTTTGAGTACACAATACCATTTATTGTGTACATCCTTCCCTTACTGCCCCCCACCCCTAAAAATGTATCTAACACTTACCAGAATTATATTTCATATTTAACCTGTATAGTATGGTTTAATATTTTCAGAAAGCTTTGTTCAATGTGAAATTGGCTTTCTTTTGACCTTGTATGCAATTGAAACAGCCTAATAGGGTTGATTTACCTTGTGTGTACTGAAATACAGAGGTGGTAGATGTATGCTGATTTGAAGCAAAACTTTTAATTGTTTATTCAGGGAAATATCTGCCTATTAGTTTATCAGTCGAGGGCTTTATCCAGAAATGGGCAGAATATAGTCAATGACACATTCTCCATTTTGCATTTGTAACAATTGTCTCTGATAAAATTCTGTGCATTGCATAGAAGTGGGTGCGGAGAACAAGAGATATTAATTGGGTTATCAAAATGTTTTGCCAGGAGTGAGGCTAAAGAATCTTGGAGGAGTGCAATTAGAGGCTGCAAGCATGAAGAAGGAAATTTGTAAATTCCAAATTTATAAAGTCACCTTTGTGAAACTGGATATAGTCTGGTTGAGCCCAAGACTATTTGAAAAGAGATGAAAATTAGTGGCCAAAGTAAACATTTAGGGGAAGGAGCAAAGGGCAGTTCTATTATCAATCCCAGTGTTTAACTGGAAGAAATTGTGACAGAATGTTAGTTTGGCTGTGGTAAGAGTTCTTTACAATGTGTCCTTGACTTGCCTTCAACAATATCATAAGGTTTGAGTGATAGATATTTAGCATTTAATGAATGTTAAATCTGTATCACAGTTGTGTATAAGCTTTTTTAAAAAGCAAATGGGTCATCTTTTAAGAAATACGGAGAATTTCAGCCAACAGAAAATGAGTCAGCACTTGCAGCCTTGTACCATCGATGTAATAAGCATACTCAATTTTTTGTTGTGATCTCAGGCAGTGCTTATAAACTGAAGTTTGACTTCATAACTTTGAAGGGAACCATATGTGAGCAATAAATATTTTCTGCATTAAACTTATTCCTGCTTTTAGGAAATTTGTAGATTCGTGGTGGAGAAATGCATTTTCATAGTTGTATTAGGCTACTAGTGATTCAGTTATGTTTCTTAATGTTGAATTATTTTTAATAATATAATTGATTTCATTTGATGAAGGGGGAGAAGTGCAGTAATGTTAGTCCCAATTTTTCTGTATGTTTTAGTCTGAAATTTGGTGCAAGACAGGTGTATGCCTTAGTTAAACCTAATTAGTTAGATTTAATAGTTGATGTTCTTAAAATATGAAACTGGTGGATCTCCTGATTAATGCAGTAGATAAACATATTTTCTAAAAATTGTGCATCAAATGCTGTACCTCTGCTTACTGGAGTATGTACTGTATCTGGAAGCATGCTACAGGAACAGGCCCTTTGGCCCACCATGTCTGTGCTGACCATGATGCCATTCTAGATTAATCCATATCATGGGTACATGGCTCATAACCCTTTATTCTCTATTTCTATGTCTGTCTAAATGCCTGTAAAGTGTTGCTGTTGTATCTGCTTCTACCACCGCCCCTGCAGTGTCTTTTCCAGGCATCTACTGCCCTCAGTGTAAAAACAAAAACTTGCCTCATAACATCTCCTTTAAACAACTACTCCTCTCACTTTAAGCCCATGCCCCCTAGTATTGGGCACTTTAACCCTGGGAACAGACTCTGACTATTAACCCTATTCACGCCTCTCATAATTTCATATACTTCTATCAGTTTGCCCCTCTGGTGTAGGGTGGGGTGGGGAGGTTATCATTGACCAGAAGCTTAATTGGACTAGACATTTAAATACTTTTCCTACAAGAACAGGTTAGTGGCTAGGAATTGATTGCTGAGCAACTTTGCTGTCTCCCCAATGTCTGACCACCTACAAGGCACAAGCCAGGAATGTGGTGTTGTGCAGTCCAATTTCTGAATAGATGCAGCTCCAACAATGCTTCAAGCTTGACACCATCCACGACAAATCATACCAACTTGAGTGTCACCTTATCTACCACCTTCAATATTTCCTTCACATGGACGCAGTGGCAGACGTGTGTACCGTGTACAAGATGCACTGCAGTAACTTCTCGGACGGCATCTTCAAAACTAGTGACATCTACCACCGAGAAGGTCAAGCAAAGTAGTTGCATGGAACATTACCTGTGAGTTCCCTTCATGGTTGATGGGTCATAATCCTGCAACTCCTTTATGAACAGCACTGAGAGTCCCTACTCTCAGGAACTGCACTGGTTCAAGAAAGCATCTCACCTCTCCGAGGCAATCGGGGATGGACAATAAATGCTGGCCTAATCTGTGATGTCCATGTCTTATGAATTAAACTGCTTTTGAATAGGTCAATTTCAGTTAGTTATGATGTTTTATCTGACTGTAAGCATGCATTCAAGGAGATGGGACCAACTACATGACATGGTTTTACCTTTTGAAATGCTGAGAAATGTTGAAAGATCAGCTCACTTTTAGAAATTAAGTACTCCAGTGATGATTGCTGTCACAGTAACAAATTTTAGTTTATGCTTAAATCAGAATGAGATGAGAAATTAACATTGCTGATAAATCTGCATGTTTGAAATTGGAAAATCTGAAATGCTTTTCAGATAAGGTGATTTAAAACTGAAACGCATGCATTTTTTCCTTAATTTCCAAGGGCCGCCAAAGTTCAATGAATGTTGTTTTCATATGCTCAAACCTCTTTCTTTCTGCAGGTTCAGTCCTTACTTTCGTAACAAGGAAAAACTTCTGATTAGTTCAGTCTCCTACAGCAACTTGATTGACCCCAAACAAAGTTTCTGTCGCTTTGATTTAACTGGTACATGCAATGATGATGATTGCCAATGGTATGTTTATTGCTTGGTCTTGCATGAAATTAATTTAATAAAATCAATGATACAGTGATAAATGCTAAAGAATGCCTGTTCTGACAGTCGGATCTAGCACAAACATCAATAAGTCCAACTATGTATGTTTGCAGAAAAATTGTAAATGGTCTGTCCTTAAAACAGGAGTATTGGAAGCTCCCTTCAAATTAATGCTATTTAAAAGTATTTAATTTCAAGGTTGTTAACAATCAATTAATTACTTGCTCACTAGAGCATGTTTGAAGTGTACAATACATAAGAATTAGTAGCTCTTCTCCATTTTTACTTAAGGTTTATTTTCTTAATTAGCAACAATTTTGGATTCTAGCTCCGAGCACGCGGAGCCTAAAGTTGAGGGTTTGTCTTTTGTGGAAGTTGACTTACACCTGTTGCAATACAATGCTTGGTAATGCAGAGGGATAAAGCTTTACAAACCTCTTAAAATCTAAATTTTTTTCTCTAGGCAACACATGAGAGACTGCATTTTAAATCAATGCCAGCTGTTTCAAGATCTTCTCTCCTACAATTTATCTCTGATTAAATGTTCAGATTTTAGTACAGATGAAGAAATCAGGGTTGCAGCAGGTAATTAAGTTGCTGAATTGTCTAGATGTTTGTGTATTGTTTTGGCTTTGAACTATGAAGTACTTGTAATGTGACTATGTATGATTGTTCAAAGTGCGATCACCGCATTCATTTCTTTTTGTTCTCAATGTTATACCAAATATTTTTAGTTGAAGGTACTGCATTCTGAAGTGAGAACTCATTGCATAAAACTAATAGACTTCTTATTTACATGCAGAAAATTATGTGGATAAACAGTTCGGCAAAAACAAAGATCGTATGACCACGGATGAGATGGCTGTTCTCCTTGTTAGCCAAGTGAATGAGAGTACTGGTCACAGTAAGTGAAAGTTTATTTTCTCACACTTCAGTCCTTCAAATATTTACTTTCGAGCATGCAAATTATTTTACTTTTGTTCAAGTTTACAGCTTATTGGTGAAATCTGAGCAGTTAGCCTGACTGTACCTCCTGTTAAGATCTCCCCTGAACGGAGTTAAGCATTACTTCCACAGTGATGCATCTTATTTTGAGAACAATGTAATATCATGAAGAATGGACACTTGGTTGACGCATCATAATTCAAATTAGTTCCTGCTTGAGAAAAAAAAGTGAGGAAGAAAATGCTCGGGTTCTCATGTGGCTATAGATCCTGTGGAGATGATCTAAATTTAAATGTGCGTTGAAGTTTTTTTAATTTATTGGAAAATGTGCCACAACAGTCAGGCATTTAACTTGGAAATGGTTTGAAGCACATTTAAATGAATTAATCTACTGCGGCTTTGTCAAAATGATTTTTGTGAAGTTCAATATTTATTATTGTATTTATGTATGCTACTTTTTCAAAACTGATCCCACATTCTTGGTTTTTTTGAAATTACAATTTACACTGGAATTAGGCTGAAGGATCTGTCCTTATCAATGGACTGTGTTTTCTGACTTTACTGTTCAATCTCCATGAATCTCTGGCATGGCGTGACCTTGAACTCTGTTGCCTTCACCCCGTGCTCACTTTTTTAAGACAAGAGTCCTCTTCCTGCTGCATGGACTCTCTTACCCCATCTCCATAACTCTTCTTCCACCTGGACCCACCTCTAGCTTCAAGCTTGTATTTGATCTTTGTCAAAAACTGTCAGTCGCATGCGTCATCTTAATTTCTTTGCTCCCCCTCACCATCCTAACCTGTTTGCTTCTGAATTTGCACTCTGTTCTCTCAGATTTAACCTTTAATTTTATCCAGTCTGCTGACAAGGATGTTGCTGTTATCACGTGACGTGTTGGTCTTCACCTTGCACTGTATACTCAGGTGTTGCTTCCTCGCCTTGTCTGGAAAACAAAGAAAATAATTCAGTTTTGCTTTTGATTTTCATCCTTCGCTAGCCTTCACCTGAGCCATCTGACTCTTCACTTCCTTGACATTGATATCTGGGCATTTCAATCACCAAAATTCATCATAAACATGGCTTTCATAGTTACTTTGACTAGACTTGCTCATACCCTGCTTCCTGTAGGCACTCCATTCTGTTCTCGCTGTTTTTCCCATCTCTGTTGCATTCTACTGATTACACATCCCACGTTATACAGGGTCGCTTTCACATGTTCTCTCCTTTTTCATAGTGATTCACCCTATGGTTGGGCCCTCAGCTTCTCTTCCTTGCACTTCTCCCTCATGCGTTTTCCCCCTCTGCAAGAACAACAATTGGATTACCTTATCCTCATCTTTCACCCCACCAGTCTGCCATTTCTGCCACCTCCAGTATGATGCCACGACCAAATGCTGCTTCCCTCCCCTCCCATGTCAGCATTTCGCAGAGGTCATTCTCTTTGTGACTTCCTGGTCTACTTTTCTGCTCCTACCCTTCCTCATTTCTTTTCATCCCACCACCCAACCCTCAGTGTCCTCTCTCATCCGTGAGCTGCTTTAAGGTTCTGTGGATGTCAATCGACATACTGATGCATGTGCTTACAGTTTTCGAAGTTGCTGCAGCACCACAGACCTTGGAGGTCTGTGCACTGGAAAAAATTGTCAGGATATCTTGACCCCTCTTTCCCCTAAGCCATCTTCCTGTGCACATGCAGAAGGTGTATACTTGCCCTTTATTTTTCACTTCTCATTGTTCAAGGCCCCCAAAACAATTTTCAGCTGAAGGAGCAGTTTGTTTGTACTTTGTGTTGTCTGCTGTGTTCGCCACTTTGTGTGGTCACCTCTACATCGGCATGACCAAATGGCAACAACTTGGCTGTGTCTGTAAGAATGGCCCAAACTCCCAGTTGCTTGTTATTTCAGCATGCCACCTTGTTCTCATGCTAATATTTCCTAGCCCTGTTGCATTGCTTCACTGAAGCCCAAAGCGAGCTTGAGGAACAGGACCTCATTATTCACTTGGTAGCTTTTGGAACTCGATGCTGAGTTCAGCAACTTCAGAGCATGAATGTTTTGATTTCCTTGTGTCTCGTGTGCATAAATTTGCTTTAAGTAAAGCTGACCTATTTTAGTCCTATAGTCAGTTTTTTTTTAAGCTTTGGGCACACAATGTCTGTTCCACTTGGTCTCCTTGTTTTGTCAACAATATAAAGGTCATCATTTCTCAGCCTCCTTTGAATCTGAAGAAGACTCTGACTGGACTTGGAACATTAATTCTGTTTCCCTCTCCACAGATGTCAGACTACTGAGTTTCTCCACGTTGTCATTTCAGGAATGATTTTAGAAATTGTCAAAAATGATATATTTGCAAGTTAAAAATGTAGCGTGTAATATTTGTTTCAGCACCTCCTTTTACAACGTTCAAAGACAGAAGGAAATGGAAGCCCCAGATTTTGAGAAAGCAAGTTTCTGAGAGTGGCACCATTAATGGCAGCGATGATGAACAAAATTCTGGGCCAATAAGATATGGTATGCATCAGATTTCTGTAGATAGCTTAGAAGTTTTAAAAAAAACTATTCGATTTTGCTTTTGCAACATTCGGACAAAGCGATCATTATCCATTCTGAATATGTGGGCAACTGTTCTTTGAATGAAGGTGGATCATTGATAAAGCAGTATACAATTGACATGGTTCACCTGTTCAGTTTTTCATTCATGGTGTAATTTTCATAGCACAGTCCTCGTCCATGTCGTCTTTTGATAGTAGATGGTCTTGATAACTGGATAGTGTTTATTGTATAAATAAAATTCTCCTTCTTTCACTGCAGATAAAAATGCATCAAAAATCTATCCTTCAAAGGCCAGTAGTATTTTCCTAGCAACAATTTAAATAAACAATGTTTTAATACATCTGGTGTTAACTCTTGAAGTGCTTATACAGGAATTATGTAGCAAAGATATAGGACTGAATTTGCATAATGGTCTTGTTTAATCTCATTTCCAGCTGTAATCATATGTCAAATACTTCAAAGAAAAGACTACTAAAAATTGTACTGTTTAAGATTTTGGGCAGTTCTCATAGCTTAACTTTTCTTCCCAGCTTTAACAAGGCTTCTCCTTAGCATATTGTAATGCTGGAAATTTTGGGAGCTATCACTCCCTGACAATATCTCTACTGTCCATCCTGCAATAAATCTCATCCCTCCAATTAAAAACAACACTTTAATACTTCAAGTTTATTAGCAAAGACATTAAAACTTAAACCTATATCTTTATTTAAAATGTCCCAACTTGACAATGCAGCACTGCTGAGTCATTTGACACATCAAAAATTCTGTTAAAGAAATATTTACCTACAATATTCAGTGATAGAATGTAGCTTTGAATTAAAGTAAATTGAAGTATTATGGCAATATGGGAAGTTTTCCTGACAGGGCTACTGAAGTTGCCTTATGTGTTTGAATTAACTGGTGCTTCAACCAGGAATGTTTGTGGTTTATATTTTGGGTGGGCTGGGGGTTTGTTTGTCATGGGGAGCTTGTAATATCTTTTTGAGTAACACTGAAATTTCTGAAACTGTATGTAATGTAATCGCTTTTAAATTTGTGACGAATCAATTATTTTCATGGGGATATTTTCTTAAATGCTCGGTTCCTCAAGTTTGGAACTCTTTCCTGCGGAACATAAAACAATGTCCTCTGTTTCAGCCAAGTCTGTGGAACATTCATGGCCTGGAACCCATGCTTTGGATGCAGTTATTACCCCAGATGATGTTCGGTATTTTGCAGCAGAGACTGATGACATTGCCAATCTTGAAACCAGTGTGATGGAGAATCCCCAAGATGTGCAGCTTTGGATTAAACTTGCGTACAAATACATGAATCAAAAGGAAGGGTATGTTTGTCAGTTATTTCCTTAGCTAGTGAAAGTAAATGAAGTAACTGTAGATAGGTTAATATTTAATTTACTTGATTAAAATTCATTTGGTAAGACGTTCTCTTTCCGAAGGTTAACGTTCAAATAAATTTATTTATTACCAAGAAACTCGTCCTTAATAGCCAATTTTAAAGGAAATTTGAGTTGTCACATATGTAGTGCATTTTTTTGCTTTGCATATGTTGTGCATTATTGTGTTGTTAGTGTTCAGATATGCTAAATTGCTTATTAACACACTTTCAAATTAATCTGCATTGGTTGCATGTGTCACATGGTTTTAAACTTTTCTAATTTTTGTTCTGAGGTACAAGCAAAGCAAGAAAACTCAAATTTTACCAATTATTTTTGCATCAGGTTTTGTAGGCCATACAAAATGAAGGCCATGAATTTCTTAAATACTTTTGTGCAACAGCATACTAATAAATTGGTACATGTAATAACACCACAGAATATAGGAGTTAATGAAATTTGACTAGGCTTGTTCTTTTATAGCCTAGGTTTCCTGAAATTGTGTTGAGTTAGTTGCTCATGTACATGAGCCCTAATATTAGAGTTACTCGATACTTACCATTTACAATTTAAATGCAGAAAGGTTTGTTTTGAATCTGCTTTGTTTCTTATTGAGAATAAGCCACTGGAATCTGGGATTCCTTTAAGTCAGGAAGCCCTAACATGAGAAGCTATGAAGTGTAGAAACACTCTTAAAGGAGCCTAGCATAATTAAAAATACAACATTTTGGTCATGGGAGATCTGAAAATTAATGACAACGCAAATTATATTTTGCAGATATGTCTTGGCTTTCAAGAACTTCACCTATTAATATGCTATTGCGGTCAGCTATTTTTGTATGAAGTTGTCAAGTCTTAGGCAAATTAAAATGGAACCATCTGGAGCACTCAGCTGTACCTTTTTTAAGCTTCCCTCTTTGTGACTTCCTGTGGTTGTGCCTCCATCCAATTGCAGGGTTCCTTTCTCTTGTGATCCTCCTCTGATCCTTGAGTGTACAAGTTATTTATCCCCCACTCATTATTTTCCATTTTCAATTAGTTTTAAAGGGCAGAATCTGATCTGTAGCTTTCGAAATCAGTCTGCTACTGATTTGATTTCATACCAGTTTTTAAAATATCACACTTGACATTGCTTCTATTTGCTGTCTCTGCAGCCAACTCATTTGTTTTAGTACCACAGTTTCACCATGCCAATGTATTAAGGAAATTTAAGTAGGATGCTACAAGTCTTCAATTCTAAGGGAGTTTTTCTTAAACTTTCTTAAATCGCTCAGGATGTTTATGTTTGACCATAATTCTGCAGGAGCTCATAGTCACCCAGTGATTCAATCAAGAGACCTTGGGTCGTAATTGTTTTGAAGATGTTACTAGCATAGTGGATAATGGGGAACCAGTGAATATGGTATATTTGGATTTTTAGAAGGCATTTGATGAAATGCCACACAAAAAGCTAGTGAACAGCATTGGAGTAATACACTGGCCCGGATTGTGTAAGGTTAGCCATGTTGATTGGAGGAATTGATATGAAGATTATTTTGTCAATGATTAACAAGTGTTAATATCCAAAGGCACCTGGTTTTTCTTGTTGATAAATCATTGAAAGGTAAATGTAGGTGCAGCAAGCAATGAGGAAGGCCAACTTTATGCTGACTTAATCAGAAGAGGATTTGAATACAGCATTAGAGCTGTCTTGCTTCAATTGTATAAATCTGAAGGCACCTGGATTATTTGTGTGCACTTTTGTTCTGCTTACCTAAGTAAGGATAAACTTGCTGTTCAGTAAAGATAAACCAGACTTGCCTCCTGGCATGGCAGGACAGTCGTATAAGAAAAGATGGAGACTGAATCAGTAGAGTTTGAAAGAATGAATGGTGATCCTCGGAACTTGTGAAAAAAAAAATAACTTAAAGGGCTCAACAAGGTAGTAGCAGAAAGAATGTTTTCCTTGGCTGGTGGGTATCTGGAAGATGAGGAATTTATTTATTTGTGAAGTAGTGTCCCTGTGGAATTTTCCAAAGGATTTTGGCAGCTCAATTATTGACTATGTTCAAGATAGATCGATGGACAATTACTATCAAGGGATATGGGAATATTGCAAAGTGTCAAGGTAAACAACCAGCTGTGATACAGGATGCACGAGTGGCCTAATCTTACGTCTGTGTTCTTATGTTTGGCAACAGGAGGAAGGATGTAGCAACCAAGCCTGATGCTTATTTCTACTTGCAATTTCCTTTTTCTTCTTCTCCCTCGCCCTTCATTCTTTTCTACACAATCCCTGTCTTGTATACAAATAAATGAAAATCAAAATATGATTTATGCTCTCTATTAATTTGAAGACCTCTTACTATCAAAAGTTCTCTCTCCTTCCTGTTTAAATTGTTTAATTTTCACAAGTTTCCGTCACTAGTTACTGTGTGCAGAGTCTTGTCTCCTCTTCTGAAGCCTGCATTTATTTCTGTCAAATGAAAATAAGTGCTTAAAGGCACAGCAGCACAGGAATTTCTGCTTCTGATTTATTCCTGCATACTTTCTAAATGACTGAATTGCAACACATTTTATGATTTTCAAAAAATATACATTGAGATTTCTGCGCGTCTTAAGAATGAGGGAATCTGATACCCAAGCGTGTAGAGGTAGGAATGACTAGCACCCAGAAGTACCAGGGAGTGGCAAGTGGCATTTAGCAGAATTTTCCAGTTAGATCAGCTCCTGAAGCTTTTTGAAATTGTGGGATATTGATTCTGGGTTTCAGGAATTGTTTACTATGTGCCAATGGGGAGAGACAGTGTTGTGTTCGTGTGATCAGATTGTTCTATAAAAAGGAAAAAGCATCCAAGATTCTTGCCATAAAATGTTGAAATGTTCACCCAGCAAGTAGACTTTGGCTACAAAGCAGAAATATTTTGTTGTCTTCATTAAATGTATTATTCATACTTGTCAAATAGTATTTCATCAGGCTTATGACAGAACAATGCTGCAAAACCTATTTAAACACAAATTTCATTCATAATCTTAGACAGCACGTGCCCTTTGGTTCCAGTTTTTCCTTATTGCCTTAATTAGCTTCAACTTTTCCCATTTATTTATGAACTTGAGTATTAGTGTACTTATAGCTGAGGTTACTCAGGCTTTGAGACGACAAGTTTCTAAAAGGGCATTTTGCATTCCTGACACTTGTGCGTCAACTTAATTGGCAACAGAATAAGTAATTTGGTGGCCACCATAAGTATGTCGTAAGTAAGTAAATAAGTATGGTGCCCACTTACTTGCTTTGAACCTACAGTATCACAAGTTTTCAAGATTTTAGAAAATAATTTTTAAATTAGCAAGATTCTCCTCTTATTACCAGGAAGGCTGAGAATTTCCTAGATAGAGAATCATACTCTTCACAAGTAATTACCAATGACATTGATTTGCATTGCCAGTTTCCTGCATTTTTACTCGTCATATGCTTGAATGTACTTTTGTCACTTCATTTGAGTTATTAAAAACTCAAATTTTGGTATTTTGAATTACTTCATAGATTAGGGCATAGTTGTTAGATTGCTTTAAAAAAAAACAATTTTATGAAGAAACTAAATTTATAAAAATATCTGGTTTTAAAAATCAGTCATGAATTTATTCTTTAAGGGCTTCATAAAAACCAAAAGAACTGCAATGATGTAAATCGGAAACAAAAACAGGCATTGCTGTAAAAGGTCTGGCAGCATCTGAAGAGAAATCAGTTAAAGTTCAGGTCCGGTAACTTTTCTCAGAACTGATGGTACCTAGAAAAATGTCACTTTACATGCAGAAGATAGGGTTGGGGGAGGGAGTCAGGAGTAAACGATAGGTGGGGATAGAGCCCAAAGAGAGAGAAGACCGGTTACACAAAGGAATGGATAACAATCTGGCTAGGAGGGTGAACAGCTGTTGTCATGGACTCCACTGGCTAACAATAGGTAGTGTGTAGTGGCAGGCTGAGAGATAATAAGGCCTGGTATGTGGGGTAGGGGGCTAGGATGTGGGAGTGTGTTCAGGCCCTGAAATGATTGAGCTCTAAATAGGGTCCTGAGGGCTGTAGGGTCCCCAAGCAGAAAATAAGGTGGTGATCTCTGCCCTCTTCCCCCAGGCTCTCACACAGCCTCCAAGCTGTTTGCCCCCGGCCCCCCACAACTTGCTTCTACCTCCTCCTAAAAATCCACAAACAGGACTGCCCGGGCAGACCCATTGTTTCTGCCTGCTCCTGCCCTACAGAAATCATCTCTTCTTACCTTGACTCAGTCTTTTCTCCCCTGGTCCAGTCCCTGTCCATGTACATCCGTGATTCCTCAGACGCTTTACGCCAGTTTGAGTTTCCAGGTTCCAGCCAACACCTCTTTTTGCCATGGACATGCAATCCCTTTACACGTCCATCCCCCCTCCAAGACAGTCTTAGGGCTCTCTGGTTCTTCTTGGAGCAAAGGCCTGAACCATCCCCCACCCACCACCACCCTCCTCCACTTGGCTGAGCTCTTCCTCACTCTGAACAGCTTCTTTCATAACTCCTGTCATTTTCTTCAGGTCAGAGGGGTGGTCTTGGGTACGCATGTGGGTGCCCAGTTATGCCTGTCTCTTCGTGGGGTACATGGAATGTTCTTGTTCCAGTCCTATTTTGGCCCCCACCCATAACACTTTCTCCAATATATCAATGATGTTGTCAGTGCTGCTGCTCCCTCTCGTCTGGAATTGAAAAACTTCATTGATTTTTGCTTTCAATTTCCACCCCACCTTCACTTTCACCTGGTCTGTCGCTGACTCCTCGCTTCCTTTCTCGACATCTGTTTCCATTTGTGGGCATAGACTGGCCACTAATATTCACCTAGAAACCCACTGATTCCCACAGCGACCTGGACTTGACTTCCTTGCACCCTGCTTCCCGTAAAGACTCCATTCAATTCTCCCGGTTCCTCCATCTCCGCATATGTTCTGTTGAGGCCAACTTCGACAAGGGAGCTTCCAAAATGTCTACCTCCTTCCTCAACCAAGGATTCCCCAGCACCCTTGTCGACAGGACTGTCAAATCAGTCTGACCCACTTCAGCCCTCAGCCCCTCTCTTACCTCCTGTAACAGTGATAGGGTTCCCCTTGTCCTTACCTAACATCTCACCAGCATCCACATCCAGAAGATAATCAGCTGCCATTTCTGCACCTTCAGCGAGATGCCACCACCAGACATATTCCCCTTCCCTCCCTTGTCTGCCTTCCACGGGACGTTTCCCTCCGGGACATCCTGGTCCACTGTTCTTCACTCCCAACAGCTCCCCTCCACAGCCCCACGGCACCTTCTCCTGCAACCGCTGAAGATGTAACACCTGCCCGTTTACCTCCTCCCTCCCCAGTATCAAAGGGCCCAAACATGCCTTTCAGGTGAAGCAGCACTTTACTTACATTTCACAATCTAGTCTACTGCATTCGCTGCTCACAATGTGGTTGTCTCTACATTGGGAAGAAGTGTAGACTGGGTGACTGCTTCTCAGAACATCTACGTTCTGCCCATAAAAAAGACCATGAGCTTCCAGTTGCCTATGACTTTAATACACCACCCTGTTCCCTGGCCAACATCTCTCTCTGGCTTGCTGCAGTGTTCCAGTGAAGCTCAGCGCAAGCTGGAAGAACAACACCTCATTTTCCGCTTGAGGATCCTGCAGCCTTCAGGACTCAATATCCAGTTCAATCATTTTAGTGCCTGAACTGTCCCACATCCTAGCCCCCTACCCCCAACACCAGGCTTTGTTATCTTATAGTCTACCTATCGTTAGCAACTAACAGTCTCCATTAACAGCTATTCACCCTTCTAGCGCGATCATTATCCACTCCTTTGTCTTGCCAACTGTCCTTCTGTCTCCTTGGGCTATATACTCACCTATCGTTTACACGTGACACCCCCCCCCCCACCAAACCATATCTTCTGCATATAAAGCAACATTTTTCAAGCTATCATCAGTTTTGAGGAAGGGTCACCAGACCTGAAATATTAACTGATTCCTCTTCAAAACTGCTGCCAGGCCTGCTGAGCTTTTCCAGCAATTCCTCTTTTTGTTTCTTTATGAACTTATTTGGTTACCCAGGTTGCTGTTAAATACCCAGTCACGTCTCATTAGATAGACTTGATTTTTTGTGGGGTGACTGTCAGAAATGAGTAATAATGAAGTTCTTGCCTGATCACCTTTTACTGATTTACTCGTGGAATTGGGTAGTTAAGATGGTAGGTGGGAGTTGTTGAGATGAGGAGCCCAGTACCACCTGTGGTGAAGCAAAAAATTATTGACCAGAACATCAGGATTTTGGTGTTTTTCCATTGTGCCAAATTCCAAAGTTATAGCCAGATTCAGAAGAATAACGGTGGTGAAACCTCTGAAAATATAGAGCTGATATTTTCAATGCCCTAAATTTGGGCAGATACTTCAAATGAAACATGCCACTGCATTAAAATGTCTAGTTCTACTTTCTGTGGTCAGTTATTTATTTAAATGAATACTGTATTTTAGATAGCTGCTCCTTGTCAGTAATTGGCACTGATGTATTTTGTTTCAAACACTTTAACATCATGGATGTTGGAGGTGTGCATTGCAAAGATCCTTTAGTAATTTCACATTTGCATTTCAAAGAAAAATGTCATGCCTTTCCTCTCCAAGTACTCTGCTGCCTGGCCTCTTTATTTTCCTCCCTGAATGATGAGAAAATTAACATGGAAATTATGGGGATGGTGCCTACATTGTCGTCTTTTTAAATGCTAGAATGTGTCTTGGAAAAATTCTCGTTTTGAACTTTGCATTGATTTTTGCTTTCTACTAGGACTCCAACAGAATGTTTAGATGCAGCACTGAATGCTTTAGCTCGAGCACTTGAAATTAACAGAACAGATCCTGAAATTTGGTGCCATTATCTCAACTTGTTTTCAAAACGAGGTACAAAGGAAGAGGTTCAAGAAATGTGCGAGACAGCTGTACAGTATGCCCCTACAAATGCTGTTTGGTGGACTGTAAGTACTTTGGAATTGTCTGGAACTAATCCATATTAGGTAACGTGGGAATATAGAAAGTGGGGGTAGGCTGATCATCCAACTCAATAACTTGTGCCTGCTTTCTTGCTGCATCCTCTGATTACATTAGTCTTGAGAACAAGGACTAAACAGTTTAATTCAACATTGGTGCTGTGTAACCTCATTTCTAATCCTTTAAATATAGCACCCTGGTGTTGAGGTAGTTAGAGAGGTGTGTCTCAGACTAGTCAAGCAAATGCCTACCCTTCGAATATGACACCGCCGTGCTTCCCTGTGTTTGCCTTGTCCCAATGGCAGGGCAGACTTGGCAGAGGTGGTGGTACGGTTGTATATGGAAGAACGTGAGTTGACCTGAGTGTGCTTAATATTAACCCTGGACTCGTTTTTTTTGAAATTCATTCATGAAATGTGGGTGTCATTGCCTGGGCCAGCATTTATTACCCATCCCAAGTTGCCTTTGAGGAAGTAGTGATGAGCTGCTATTTTGAACTGCTGCGGTCCATTTGGTTTAGGTATACCCACAATGCTGTTAGAGACAGTTCTTTGTCCCATGTCATCAGGTGAAACGTGCGCAAAGAAACCTGATTACCAGAAGCCCCTGCAACCCCGACCTTTCTGTTGAATCAGTATTTCATGTTGGCAGCTACTTGGAGGAAGCACTGAGCAGTGCAGGGACACATCGAGGAAGTACTGATGGTGGCCAAGGGTGCACAGTGTACTTCAATGCAGTTCACTGATTCAGAAATACTACGACTGATTGAGCTGATTGAGTCCTAAAGGACGTATTGCTGGACTGTGATGACGGAACCAAGGAGAGGGGAAATATACTTGTCCTCACTAACCTGCCTGCTGTAGATGCACTTGTTTGTGACAACCAGATGTGTGTTGACAGCAGAAATATGGGAACACAGCTGCCTGCAACTTCGTCTCCAAGTCACCCATCGTCCTGACTTGGAAATATATTATTCTTCCTTCAGTGTTGTTGGTTCAAATTCATGGAGCTTCCTCCCTAACAGCAGAGTAGATCTATGTACACCAAATGGTCTGCAGTGGTTCAAGACAGTTCACAATTGCCTTCTGCAGGGCAAATAAGGATGGGCAGTAAATGCTGGCTCAGCCAGCAAAGCCCACACCCCTGAAAGCATTTAAAACAAAAACTTGCTCTCAATCCAGCTTTCCATGTTGTACGATAGTGTGAAAATCTTGCTTGTTGGGAGTGCAATTTTTAAGTTGAGATGTTAGATTAAATATCTATTTTGGATTGTTACTGTTCCAAATACTATTAGAAGGGAAACAGTAGAGATTCACCTAGTGTTGTAGCCAAAATATAATACTTAATCATCAAAGGATTATTAATTTGTCTGTTATTTTGTTGTGGTTTGTTTGCAATTTACCTTCAGTGGTTCCCTATCGAATAACACTGTTCTAAAAGTGATTCAATGACTGTGTGCTCTTTGGAATGTTTGAGATTGATCTTCCTTTACATCCATAGTGTTATTTTCTGATTGCAGTATTTGACGCTCGAGAATTCCTTTGATGGAAAAGACTATGTGTGCAGTCGAATTGTGCAGTTCCTAATGGAAACAATTGAAAAATCTGAAAAATCTGAAATTCTGTCTTTTCAACTACTTCAATCCCTCCTTTTTTGGGTGCAATTAAGTCTCTTTACTGGAAGGCATCAGAATGCACTGGCCATCTTTCAGGTTTGTATTTTGGAATTCTTTCAGTTTGAAATTGTATGATCTGGTACATGGAGAAAAGTGTATGGTGGCCCCAGCGTTGATTTTGGAGTATGGAAGCAAGAGAACACACACAAACAAATTGACCCCAGTTGGAGTGTTGTGTTCAATTCTGAAACCATATTTTAGGAAAGACAATGAGGCCTTGGAGAAAATGCAGAAGAGATTTGCTGGAACAGTACCAATGGTGAGGGACCGAATTAAAGAAAATCTTTACAATAGAAATTTTTTTAAAAACCGATTTGAGAGCTGCTCAGAATCATGAGAAACTGTTCCTGATGTTAGGTTTCTTGGCAGAAGCAATAGATTAGCATAGAAAATGAATGAAATTTGCAAAATAATACTGCAGTAATGAACTGCACTGAACAGAGAATCACGGCTTGAAAGCACAATGGAGGAAGATTCAATGTGCATGTTGAAAAGCATAAATAATTAGAGTACTTAAAGGTGAGAAAAGTGTGAAGCTGTGGAGAAAGATCAGGGGACTTAGGAGTACTTGGTTTTACTGAAGAACTGTAACAGGTACAGTGGGCTGAATAATGATTTGTGCTTTCATCTTATAATTTTAAGAATTGGAGATGGCTTTTGATTAACTTGAGATGTTTTTAACTATCTATCAATAAGCTAATCTAAAATTGTTTCAAATTGACCCAAAAAAAAAATTTTGGACTGATAATTGGCTTCCTGAGAGAATAGTTTAATATAATTTCCTGAGAGCACTCTTTATTGTGCAGTAATATCTACAGATATTAGATGACATATTTGTGTAGCTTTGCATAGTTTTGCTGTGGCATAAAGGATTCCTATCTGAACAAGAATCAAGGGTGGGGGTGGGTACTCTGCACTTGTTGGAATCATATCTGGCACAAAGAAAGATGGTTGTGATGGTTGGAGGATCAGTCATCCCACTTCCAAAATATCTCTGCAGGAGTTCCTTCAGGGTAGTGTCCTAGGCCCTGCAGTCTTCAGCTTCTTCAATTACCTTCCCTTGACATAAGGTTAGGAGTGGAATTGTTTGTCACTGCACAACATTTAGCTCCA